AAGAGTGGGGCGGGGGTATCTGGTTTCCTGCTATGGGGGGCTGACTTCATGTAAATGAGCGGAGGGCCTCAGGTTCAGGGGGGGAGGTGGAGAGGAGCTTCACCCACATATGCACAGTGTAAGTGTGTGACAGAGCGAGGTCAGGTCCCAGCTTTCCTCTGCTCCACTGACAGCTGCGAGCACCAGCAGCCCAACACAGCTACACCTCCTCATGATGAAGGAGCGCTACAGCCGGGCGCCACCACTAGCCGTTCCCCCTCCTCAGCAGCAGCAGCAGCAGCAGCAGCAGCCGGCGCCCCGAGCGGGACCCGTGGGTGGATGTTGCCTGGGAGTGGCTGGGCAGCGCTCGGGCTCCATGTGCACCGTCTGCTCTGACTGTATGTCTCTCTGTGCCGGCTGTTTGTTGACAGATGAGGCGTACCAGAAGCTGGCCATGGAGACAATGGAGGAGTTGGACTGGTGTCTGGACCAGCTGGAGACCATCCAGACCTACCGCTCTGTCAGCGACATGGCCTCCAACAAGGTAGGAAAGGCAGCATCTTTATTCTTTCTTCTTCTTTTTTTAAATATTCTGCTCCATTAGTGGAGGACATTTTAAGGGGCCACAACGCTGATGTTGTCTTTCTTGCATTTTGAGCAGAGAAACTCTTCGAACTCTTCCATTTGGTGCAAGTGTTTATACAGAAAAGGCTCTGCTGTTTGAGGGAGTTCTCGAATCGACGGATTCTGCAGGCGAGCGTTAATCCCTCAGCATAATAAACACGTGAAGGACAGTATACAAAATCCAGAGATACTGGAGCTGAACTTAGCATGACCCAAGCAAAGTCAACTGCATTAAAAGTCTGAGCTCGCACAGTACAGTAGAGGAGGAGGAGGAGGAGATTGGCTTGCAGGGGGGCTGCAGCGAGCACCGGCTGCTTTTAAAGGCCACCTGCATGCTCGTACGTGACTGGATGTTACTTATCAGCTGGTTTCTGCCTGAGCCGACATGAAGCTCTGTTCGTTTCTGTAGTTATTTTCTCTCTTTCTGCAAAGATGGGTCTCACCAAAGGAAGCATGTTTTTGTTTTGGCCCGCTGTGGCCCCCTTTTCCTGTCAAACATGTTTTCACTGTCCATTGGTTATTCTGCTTCTTCTGCACCACTGCCTGTGTGTGATGTGCACCAAGGTTCAGTTCCTGGTTCTTTATTTAAGTCACCTCTTAACCACATTACTCTCTCATGCACGGCAATATTTGACTTTTAGGGTTTATGAGTTATGACACGAAGCTTGATGGACATGTTCTGTAATGCTGTATTATGGTCGTTGTTTTAATGCAGTGTTATTAATTCTCACCGAATCAGAACTACTGTAATACTATCAGCGTAAAGGTTGCGGAGGCAGCAGCCAACTGACCCCAATTTTACTGATAAATTTGTAATTTTTTGTCCATCCGCTATGACGCCAACCGAGTTCTGTGATTACACATGTTGTGGGAACTTTTGCAACTTAAGCAAAACCTCTTAAGCCTTACAGGTTATTCCAAGTAAATAGTTGGGTTTTTTTCTTGTTAAAAAGATGGTTACATGGACAAAATGTGTTGTGGTTATGGTGGCACTCTTTCCACCCTAACTGACTAAGCTTTTCTACTGTCCACTGGTTATTCAGTTTCTTCTGTGTCACTGATTGTGTGTCAAGTGCAGCAAGCTTCAATTCCTCCTTCTTACATAAAGAGACAGGAAGTTGTCAGAAAATGGTACCGAGCTATATTGAGCTTGGAGATCGCTTGATTTATTGAACTTTCTCTTCTCTTTTACTATTGACTCTTGAATTTTATACCTAAGACTCAATGAGCTGCACTCCAAGCTTCAGTAACTTCTACTTCTTGTACGACGCGGGCACATTCATTAACACAATCACTGCTGATGCACTGATTTTAGAAAGTAAAGAAGTGTCTCTCCCTGATTTGTCTTGTGCCGTGTGGCCTATGTAACATGTGCATTAATGTTTTAGAAGTGGGCCCCTTTTAGCCCACAGACTTTGCATTGAGACAACGTGACGCAAATGTCAGTTTCATAACGTTGTCAGTGGTGATTTTCGGGATGCAGTACTGCGATTGACCACAGGGGTAAAAAAAACAAAACATCTGTGGGCTGCAACGATAACACGAGTTCTATAAACACGAACAACTGGATTCTAAGCCATCTTCGTTGTAGATCTACCCTCAGTAAAATTACCACTTGTCATGGAGGATGGTAACTTATTGAACGTCTTTTTGTTTGACTCGAAATGTTCTTTGTTTAAAATTTAGGTGTTTTTTTTTGACTCGACACTTTCAATGCTGACACGTTGTTTGTCTGCTTTGCGTATAGGCTGAGTGGCAGCTGTGTATAAAAGAGCCTGAACACGGTTTGTCATGTGAGCCCAGAGGAAAAGCTTGTTATTTCTCATAAAACTGGACAACAGGATGCGAGGGATCCCACAGTGGGTCAAACACAATAAACGAGAGAGGAAGAAATAGAACGTTTGTGTGTGAGCGAGTGAGTAAGTGAGTGAGAGAAGGATCCTTGCAGACCCCTGGGCAGAGTGACTCTCTCTTCCTGTCTCCTTCCCGATCCCCCGTTCTCTCTCCAGACGACAATAGTCACCCCATCATACCCGTTCGGATGCCTAACGGTCGTGTTTTTGTACCCCGCCGCTGTCGTCATGCAGACACACACCTAGCACTGGTTTCACTTAGCACACATGAGGAATCATATAACTGCTGTAATAACTATTTGAACACTGACATATAGACATTATTGTCATGGTAGACTTGTTTGTGTAAATGTCACAAATATAGTCCTGACAACACACAAAATCCCAACAGTTGTTACATTAATAACTGCAGTGATGCTGCTGGTTTCGATCACTCCTCACATACTGTTATCTATCTAACAAGAGACTGTGATTTTAGCACTTTTGCAATCAGACAAAAAATGGCAGGATTGAGCCAAAATGTTATCTGTGGGTGACGACTGATTTCGGAGGACTCGCCATCTTTTGAAATTCCCAAATATCCCAATAAGGGAATAATGAAGGGATAAATCTATCCTGTTTTTTTTGTTAAAGAAAATATTAAATGTACCTTTTGAGCTGCCAAGAAAATCAGACTGTAACACAATGCAACAGCATGGAAGGCTCAGAGTAGTTCTATTTAAATGAACAGATACGTCACATTGTGTTGGCTGGCGTTGTGAAGTAATGCAGAATTGAAGAGTTTATTTGCAAAAACAGTGTAGATTTTCAGAAAACTTATTTGCTGTTTGCTTGAGATAATATCAGTCAAACTGAAGTTGAGTGGATTTGAATCAGTAAAAATGACATGACATAAAAAGAGATAACTTAAGTTTGATTGATATTGTCTCAGGTAGACGATGGAAAAGCAGGTTCTCTGAAGGTTTATGAAGATGTTTTTGCAAATGAACTTTTCAGTTGTACATTTTTAATAGTTTGCTTTGTCCTGTGTGTTCCTCCTTAACCTTGAAGAATGATGTAAAATCTGATTTATTCCAAATTTCGCTCTGAAAAGTGAGTTATTGTGAGGAGGAATTGAGAGTGTTGGTCCTGACCGATACAGTACAGTGTAGCATTTCAGGTGGCACAATGTGCTTCTTGTATTTCATGACCCTTTCTAATAGATGTGACTTTGGCAAGTGAGTGAATGTGTACTGACACGTAGACATCTGTGGATGAGATTCTGATGAGTTGTCCATCAAACATGTTTGTGTTGCATGCATGTAGCCGGAGTGTGTACGTGGCTATGTGTCCATACCAACAGTAGATCAGTCCCACTTTAACTGTAGCCATCTTACTCCGTGCCTTGTTTTTACAGTAAACTTAAAGATTACACAACTGCAGCCCCCTTTGTCATGTGAGCCGTCAACCCGGTTCTGTTAGCAAGAAGCACACCAATCGGTTAAAGTGACCCCTGACTATCTGTTGTATTTAGGATGGAAAAACTGTTATTCAAGCTGTGACAGAGTATGAAACATGAGTATGAGGGAGGTGAAATGCAAGACGCTGCTGTTGCTGTACCTCCAAGGTGAAGTGCAGGAGGTGCTGCTGCTGCTGCCGAGGACTTGCAGTACGTGACTGTCCTCTGTTATGCGTTACCGACATCGATGGGTCAAGGTCTGCAGCGACTTTGAATATTTTTCTGTGTCAATGCTTTGGACCCTCAGTTACGTGAAAACAGAGCTTAAGTAATGCATCCAGTCATCACTTAGTTAATTGGAAGATAATAAAGCAACAGCGGTTTCTGCCTTTCCTTGTTTGATAGCATTTCAGATGTAATGTTAGTACAGAGAAAATGATCAGTTGGTTGATGAGATTCTAAAATGTGAATGTTTACAGCTTTTCTTTCTGGTTTAAATCCTTAGAATTGAAGATCTTTAAGGTTTTGGACCGGACTAGACAATGTACTCAGGGCTGCAAATGTCAGTTACTTTCATTATCACTTGATTCATGCATTTTCTTTATCACTTTCTTGTTCAATGAAGAAAATGTGCAATATTCCCTATTCTTCAGCTGTTCAGGTAAAAAAAAACAACAACTATACTTTTACTTTATTGTAATATAGGATCAATAAAAGCATCACATTTTCACATTTGGGATCCTCAAACATTTCTCTTTCTTGTTTGCAGCTGAATAAGGGTAATTTTTGATTGATCGTAACAGCTACGAAATCATTTAAAGTACTTTGAGCTCTGAGAAACTTACACAATTTCTAACATTTTATAGCAAAAAAGAATCATTAATCATCAACTTAATAAATCAGTGTGTTTTACACTTCAAGGGTGTTTTACAGCAACTTCATGTTGAGTTCTTAGTACTTCCACAATGAATGTGGCCTGCAGCTGAACAATCTGCCTGAACGCGTCCTGCGTAGACACTGATAAAGCACCCGAGCTGCTGCTGCTGCTGTTGTTACGGTTACGCCTCCTGATGTCAAGATGTTGGCCACCTGAGTAGATTTTAACTGCCAGGAAACTACAAAAAAAAAAAAAACACACACAACAATGCCCGGCTACCTTTCGTAATCGAAGTTTGAGGAAATCTATCGTGTTCATCAAAACAGGAAGCGTTCTAGTCATCAGCACGATCAGCCAGATATTGACAGTGTAAACCTTAGAGCTGTGACGGCCAGCTGTAGGAGTTGCAGAGGCTAGAGGCGGGACTACCCCCATGAGGGAGTGTGTATCAGGCAGAGGTCTCTCCCTCTCACACTCTCAGTCATTGCTCCACATACACAGGGTGTGAGGTAAAGCCTAGTCAGACCTCGCAGCCTGAAGTGAGTCACTAGAGCTGTGGCGTTTCCCAGCGTCAGAGAGCCCAGGCTTGGTCCTTTTACTCATGCTGTAGTCAGACCGAGACAGACACTTTAACGGACGGCAGCCCCGCTCTACTCTGCACTCTACACACAGCAACATGGGCGCCTGCTGCTTTGACAAGAAAGAGAGGAAACTAGGGAAGCTAAATGGTTGGAGAAAGGTGAGTTCTTCTAGAAATTTTGTGTTTTTACTGCGAGATTTGACTTGTGTGGACTTTGAGTGCTGAACTTTTTGCGGCTTGTTGTGAAGGTTACATGCTGGTGTGTTAAACATTTTGTCTCTTTACGCACAGTGTTTAAGTACATCCTCTGTGTATATCTTTAACTATTTGGTGGCGTTCAAAGTGGATCTCAGGAGGACTTGTATGTCACTGCTGCGAACGACGACTGCTTTAGTGTTTTCTTCCTTTTGCAAGCACGTCGGCGATGTTTAGTTATCGTTGCAGTACTTTACTAAGATGTAGGTTTTTAAAGTTGAAATGTGCTTTTTAAAAATTTGGTTTCTATTTTCTCAGCGCTCTATGCAGCAAGAACCAGTTATACCTGCGTTTTGCATTTTGAGAATCACTGTGCATCCTTTTACATGTTGGTGAATTTAGATGCTTTAAAGGCAAAGTTCAAAGATGGTGGCTGCAGTGTAACACAGAGAGACTTTTCTTCACTCTTGCACCCCAACATCAAAGCTGAAGTCAGCGCTGGTCACAACGGGAAGATCTGTCTCTGGGCCTTCTATGCGATCTTTGCAGTATTTGATTTTTTTTTTTTTAACTTTTGGGATGCTTTTAAGACATTTACTTTTATTTAACTTTAGTCACAGGGTGTCGAGACAACATAAAGTCTGGCACACTGACTTCATGGTTGTTAAGCATTCTGTAGATAACCGGTGTTTAGTGCAAGTGCTTGAAAGAGGACAAGTAGAACAAAGCGTATCGAAAGAAAATTTGTCTCCGGTGTGTGGAACAGTACATTGTTGTCTGGGTGAGATAATAAGAAAAATGGCCGTGTATTTAAATCAATCACAGGAGGCCCCTTCAGATGAACAGCAGTGTATCTAAGCATTAAACCAAAGTTTGGTTTAATGCTTTCTTGTAATGACTGAGTCCATAATGGCTCAGGTCATCTGGGGAGAAAGAGAGAGGTAGAGGTGATGTGATTATATGCTGACAAATGTGTTCAAATCGCAGATGGACGGAGTAAAGAAAATCTTTCTTGTGATTTTTTTTCCCCCTAAAGTTAGGGGGATACATGCTTTGAGAGTTAAATTCGTAGAAGTGGTTTCGCTGTTGTACTTAATTTCTTGGTTTAATACTACCAATTTGATATTTAACACATGGTTGCTTTCTGCTTTTTTCAAAGCAACCTCAGCTCGAGTGCAGTTCTGCAGGCTGTTGCCAGTTTGCAGTTGCAAACCACATCTGTCTGTGCTAAGGCCTTGATCAGTGGGAGTGACAGGAATGAATCAGTCCGCTCAGAAATTACTCTCTCTCTCTGCATATTTGTCTCCGGTACTTAAAGCTGACCGTTCTTTTTCAATATATTTACTATATAGGTTGAGAGACACATGAATACGCTCTTTTTCATGCAGACACACACACTAGCATGAGTGGGTGAGTCAGAGGAAGTGAGAGGTAGTCAGGCTGCCTCTCAGAACTGTCTGTAGTTCTACCCAACATACGCACGGTTCATACGTAGGTAGGCTCCCTGATCTTTACAGAGTTATGTCATTACCAGTTGGTGCCATTGCGCCGATGCTACAACCCTGCGTCATACGTCAAAAGCGAGAGATAACCCACAACCCGCAAAACCCACAGAAACAATCGACTGCATAAGTCACAGCGACTACGGTAAAGACTGAAAATCTGAAATTAACACTGACGGATGCTCAGTGAACTTTTGTTAAAGTTTCTAGATGGTAAATGCTTGAATCAAAAAGTTTAATGTTACTGCTTTACCCTACAAAACGTTCACACTCGGGTCAACTTCAGATGAAGGACTTACTTGTTTAAAGTTGGGTACAACTAAATTCAAGCAGGTTCATCCATGAGTTGTACCAGTGCAGGGTCAACACTCTAAAACACCGAGCACGTTTCTCCACGGCACAGTGAGTATAGTGCACCCACTAGTGGCTCAGAGACGCAACTTCATTCTGACTTCAGGTCAAAAGAGATGACGGTTCTAAGCAAAAAAACTGTAGAAAGAAAGACGTTGGGTGTGGGATTCAGCCCGGATTTTTATTTTAGGCTATTTCGAGCATTTTCAACAATGTCAACAAAACACCCTGAGGAGTTAGGATGAGGTCATTATGAAGGAGATTTCTCTAAATAATTTAAATTATAAATAATTCTAACCATAATAATAAACCATTATTTCAGGTTTATAATTGGATTTGACACTGCCAGCAGAACACGATGATCAGCAGAGAAAGAACAACGTGAAACAGAGGGTGACGCGTAGCACCCGGTCGGATAATGGAAGCATGTTCTTGCCAGTGCATGAGCTCAGTCTCGTGTTGGAGGGAGACTCCGTGTCTGCAGTCCTGCCTCCCTCTCTGCCTGGCTGCCCTCCACCGTGAGCTGTCGGATGGGATCACGTCTACATGGAGGAGCTCTGCTGTGTGCTCTCCTCCACCCCCACCCCCGTTGAAATGCCACAGGCTCCATTCACCTCCTCTACCTCTGTCACAGCAGCTCTCTGCTGAATCAACCCAACCCGCTGCAAGCAGAGAGAGAGATGTGGCGCTAAAAGGTGTGAGAATGACACGATGGGAGCAAAGAGGGGAAAGAAAGGGAAGAATCAAATGGGTAAAATAATAGAATAAGCCCTTACACTATGAGGGTGTGTGACAAAGTGGCGCCCACAGAGCTCTGAGAGGTTAATCTTCCTCCAGTGTTGGTTGGAGATAAAGAGGCTTCCCCTCTGCTCCTGAATGAGCAAAATCAAAACACACCAGCAATAACACATGCGTATAGAAATATAAGAGCACGAGTACAACATGCGTGTGACGTATCGGCATCAACTGTGCTTAACTGGAGATAATAGCATTTGTAGGCTGTGTATGCATGTGTACGGAGGCATTTTGCAGCCTCTGGGGAAGCAGAGCTCTTCGACACATTGCAGAGAGACATCCCCCGCTGTTATTTCTGGTTTCTTTATATATTATGCAGTGAGCTATTATATAAAGGGCTGCCTCCTCTCTTTCTCTCTCTTTTTTTTTTTTTTTTTTACATTTTTCTTTTTCTTTTCTTGCATCCTACCTCCCTGCTTCTGGTTCTTTCCCTCAGTGGGAGGATAATCCGGAATCCTCTCGGGAAAGCTTTGATCTCCCCCTCATCTTTCCAAACATGTACTCGCACACACACATACATCAGACAGAGAGGTTCTCTGGGAACTTCTGTTTACAGTTTCCCATGGATTGCCTCTAAATTGACGAGAAGTATATTTTCTCATTAGTGAAGCCACCCTCGGCGAGAAAATTGACAAAAGCGCAAACAAAGCGCCTTGAAATTGGCCATTGGTACTGATGTAACAGTATATTACAGTCAGGTGGCCCCAGCCTTGTACACGGCAGCAGTATCAACACCTGCTCCAAGGACAGCCCATTGATTCTGCCAGCGAGGCAGACAGACACAGAGATTGATGACTGTGTTGGCAAGTGGTAGCCGGGAGAGAAATTGACATGTAAGTGGTGGAGAGTGAGGGATAGGCGAAGCTGAGGGAGGGAACCGAGGAGGTGGGGGAGCAGTTTTCAGCCTGTGCATCGGGGGGATGTTGAGCAGAGGCGATGTGTGTGGTGTGTCCTCGTGACAGCTCAGCAGCTACACCACATGTCTGCCTGGGAACGAAAAGGGGAAGCCTCTCCTCTGTTCTCCCCTCTCTTCTTTCCTCTCCTCCTTTCAAAACAGCCTCGCACTGGCTGCCTAATGCTGTTGCCATGGCGTTGGGCTGTTCTGGTAATTGGCACACTCACTCACTCACAGACAGAGAGAGAAAACCACGGGCTCATGTCACCTAAATTGGGTAAGGATGCAATTATCTCCCATCTCTCCTTCCTCTCTCCTTTTTTTTTTTTTTTTTTTTCCCTTCCCCTATCGTCCCCTTCTCCGTCTTCCCCACTCTCTGCTTGTGTCTTGGCTGGTAAAAATAGCCATCCACAGACACCCTGTCAGCATCTAATATTATTACGGGATGCAGATAATGAACAGGCTTATGAGTTCTTCACAGTGGCTGCCGCACTTGGATGTCAGAAGACAACAGACGGCTCAAAGGAGGGAGGTGGAATAGGAGTGGGTGATAATAGAGATAATGGCCATAAAAATACAGTCGCCGTACATTCACATTCCTCAAAACGTGCCACATCCCCTTCCTCCGAGCCTCATTGTTTTACTGTAGAGGGGAGGTGTAGTTTTACAGCTCGGTGACATTCCTTCACAATGGCTGACTTCATAAAAAATGGTTTTAAAGAGGGGGAATTACAGGGCCTGGATACGGAAGAGAATGAAACTTATCTGCAGTGGCTGCACAGCTGGAGGAGAAAAAAAGAGAGAGAGAAAAGAGGGGAAGTCACATCTGGAATCCAAGTGTGGATATTAACTGTCAATCACTCAAACACCCCCCTCAGAACTTCACATATAAACCAATGCCAAGCTGTAATTAGGGCTCCCCCCCATCTCTCCACTTTCTGTCAAATCATGTGTTCTGACTGGAGTGTGTTGCTGGGGCTGGCAGACTACAGCAGGGGGAAAAGAGACAGAAGTGGGAGGGAGGGAAAAGAGAGAGCGAGAGAGGCAAAGGGAAAGAGGGGGAGTGAGTGTTACAGCAGTGAGAGCAACGAAGCAAGACAAATCCAGTGGAGGAACCCCCCCTCCAGTCAGATGAACATCGCTGCCTCATTCCCTCCTCCTCCTCTTCCTCCTCCTCCTCCTGTCTCCATCGCTGTTTTTTTCCCTCCTCCCTTCCTCGCTCCTTCTCCATTATTCATCAGTGCGCCGAGAGTCTCCAGCTCACAGCTCCAGCCGAGCCTGCTGGATCTCCTCGTCGCCTCATCTGCCTGCTTTTCCCACACGTCCGTCTATCTGCCTATCCCTCCATCCTCCGAGCATGGAGACTCAGAGCTGGCCCTTTGCTGCTGTTAAGAGGGAGAGTGAGCCACCATCAAGCTGCTCTCTTAGCTGCTGAGAAGAGAAACACAAGAGGAGAGAAGAGGGGATTTTTCTTTTCTTTTGGCTTTTTTTTTGGGGTGCTGAGAGAATCCTGTTCGTCTGCCTCTATTTTTTTTCGGATTACAGTTCTGGCTTTGTGTAGGAACGAGAAAACGGGGTCCAAAATGCCTGAAGCCAATTACCTGCTGTCGGTGTCTTGGGGTTACATTAAGGTGTGTTGCGCAAATCTACGTAGCTTGTCGGGATACCGCACTCATTTCATTGTACCTGTCTGTGCTGCGGTGATGCTGTATTAGAGGCTAATTCTAAGGAAAGTTAACATGTTGGTGATGTCGGCTGTTTGTGTGGAGCTTTTGGGGATGCTGTGCAGAGATATTTCCATCATGGTGAGGGAGGAGGAGGAGGGGGGGTCTGACAGAATGGTGTTTTGTGGCTCAGGCTCCATCTTGAGCCCTCTGCAGAGCTGTGTGTCTGTTTGTATGTGTGTCAGTGTGTATGCTCGTGCACGCGCACGCATCAGTCTGTCATAAACAGCTGCTGCAGTGTCTGGGTCTCCGTGTACTTTCACACACATGTGTCTATCATGACTGTTTTTTTTTTTTTATTATTTGAAACTGTTCAGATTGTAGGAAATAAGTGAAATAGGAATGTCGCAAGCAGTGTGCAGATTTTTCCCTCTTAAATCATTAAAATTCTTGCACGCTGATGCAAGTAAAATGACCACAGAGGCCCCAGAAATGCGATTCTGGGTAATAAAACTACAAATTGGCTGCTGCGGGTAATTTGAGGGGTATTAAAAGGGGATGGCATCCCCACTGGTAACAAATAATAATCTGCATCTTAATTAATTTCAGGGAAAATGGAGGGGAAAATACGATGTGTCCCCCACTGATTGTGCATTGTAATTAAGTAATATATATGACCTGGTAGAATAAAATCAGGCACTGTTGTGTTTTCCATGGAATCTTGTACCATAATTTCTCCCAGGTTTTCCCTTCAGTGGAAACTGACGACATTTTTCTCTGTCTCCCCCCCTCCTCCTCCTCCTTCTCCTCTCTCTCTCTCACAGTTCAAGAGAATGTTGAATCGGGAGTTGACGCACCTATCTGAGATGAGTCGGTCTGGGAATCAGGTTTCCGAATTCATCTCCAACACCTTCCTAGGTAAATGAAAGTCTTGTGTACTCAGAATCACACACAAAAATCACCTGTTGGGTCCTTATAATGCAACTTACATTAACACAGACTAATTATATTGTTGGTGACTGCAGAAGTCTTAAAAAAAATATTAAGAGGCTCACATATATTCTCATTGCTCTGGTGCTTTGCCGCAATATTTTTGTGGAGGTTCAGTCTTTCGCACAATGGCGAGCTGTGCAAGTTGCTCTGGCTGGCTTTCCTGTGGGGGCGTACCATAAAAAACTGCGCCATTAAGCTTTGTCTAGATGTTTATGGGATCCAGCTCAAAATGGCTATTAAAATTGAAGTGAAAAACATGTATTTCCCCCGAGGATGAAGTTAAAAAAAGACTCTCGGGTGGTTGGTTACTTTGTAAAAGGGGCTGTTTGACTGAAAGGGGAGCTTGTTAGCCAGAATCGGAATATGTGAATTGGAACTGGATGGTGTCAGCGTGGGTTGCACATTTAAGATCTGAGAATAGATGGCGATAACTAAATATACATGTATTCATACCGCCTTTATAAACATTGCTTCTGTTGTTTTGTCACCCACGTTTAGTGTTTCATGATCCTGGTGCCAAACCGCACTGGAAATTTATCAGAAAAAAAAGAAACAACAAACAAAAAAGCCTACAGTCAACCAGAACTAGAAGTTGATTTTCAAAAAAATGTGAGACGTCCACGCAAGTGCGATAATAGCTAGAGGACACCAAACTCAAGAATAGAAAAGTAAGTGATCTTTAGGGAATATTTACTCACGAACAAAAAAATAATTATAGATGCCAAGCAGAATGCACGAAAAGGTAGTTAAGACTATTTATAGACACTGTGCTTCCGACTGATTGTTATCCTGATCCGGTGGTGTTAGTGGATCCCTCGCCACCAGATCATTGAGAGGGAGAGGAGGGGGGAAACAGTGAAGAAGCAAATGAGGGGAGGGAGGGAGCTGACTGCAGTGAAGGAAAAAACAGAGGTACAGAGGAACCCCCTTTGCTGGCAGTGATATAAGCTCAGCAGATTGGGTGACTCATCCCCATCTTAATGCATCTTTGTCAGCAGGGACACCTTGTTGTCCCTTTCCCTCCCCCTCTCACTAACCCGAGAATCCACACAGAGATGACTATCGCTTCAATAAAGAAATGAGGATTACCCTGCTGCTGGTAGAAAAAAAGGAAACGACAGGTAAACATTAACGAGGAGGGGGAAAATGTTTGAAGCGTCACAGCTGCCCTGGTATGGCCTCAACTGACCAGCAGGACTGTTTAATCCTCCTATCCATTAAGATTATTATCAGATCAGTAATGCATTTATTTCTGCTTTGTATATATATTATAAAGGCATCCATTCAAAATAAGAGAAATTACATTTTCATGCCATATGCCTGGTTCTGCAGAGGTCGTTTTTAGATCCACCACAAATCCTCATCAGTTATTGTAGACGACTTGTCTTTTGCCGTTTTCAGCTGCTGATGCGGCAGACTGGCAAAACAGTGCTCATGGAACCTGAATAATTCCCTGGATGAATTAACATCCCAGAATTTGTTAGTGACGGTGGTTTTAGTCGAGGATTTCGGACTTTCCACTGAGGCTTGCTGGCCAACAGCTTGCTGACCGTTCACGTGTTGCCGTTTTTCCGCCACAGCTGTCCTCGCAACATAATTCTGTCATAATTCCCTTTGATCGGCCAAAAGCAGTACACACCTAGCAAAGGGAATATATACTGAGGGGGGAAAAAAGTCTTGGGAAAGAAAAAAGAAAAAAAAAAACTCCACCTTCCCCACTGCATCTGTGTCTCTCACAGGAGAGCATATGGAGGAGGATGAAAAGGATTCAGATGAAATTGAAATAAACGTGGGAGGTGACAGAGGATTGGGAAGGGAGAAGGAAGAAAAGGAGAGACCAAACAGAGTCAGATACAACAGATATTTACTTCATCTGCTTGATTATTTGGTCTGGCTGTTTTTAGTGCTTAACTTGCGAAATGCAAAGAAGACAAGACTGCAGACTATACAAGGGACTATCCATGTGACTGGCTGACACGCTGCAAGTCAAACAGAGACACATAATCTGATGGAATAAGGAAACCCACGTCATGATAACTGCGAAAAATCTCCAGAGAAGCTTATCATGTCAACTGTAGAACAGTCTGCAGCATTTACTGGGCACTGGCACTTGTGCTGAAATGATAATAGAAAAATGGATGGAAGTTTCACAATCTGAACCCTTATTTTCCATCACACACACACACACACACACACACCACACAGCAGTGCTGATTATGATGACTTGTAATAAATTAGAGGGCAATATATTGCTCTTCCCCTTGTTTCCCACGCAGCACATGTCTGAGAGCGCTTAATTGCCCATTCTCAATTACCAATGGAGAACTGAAGGGAGAGTGAGAGACGGAGAGAACGGCAGCGAAAACAGTGCTAGAGAGAGAGACAGAGGGAGAGCATGAGAGTGAAAGTGATTATTTGAATTACAGCTGGTAATTGAATAACCCTCCACAGGGGAAGGCTGATAGGGCAGCGATGAGCTGAGTCGAGGCTTGATAGATGAGTGCGCAGCTCACATACATGCCGATAGCCAGTCCCTGCAGGACTTCATTCAATTCTTCTGTGATTGCAGTGAACACAGCCTTTGTGTGGATTTTACAAGAAACTTGGCGTCCATGGTGTTTATATTTAGTGTGAAGACTGGCATTTATAATATATTTTTTCCAAAGGAAGATTAGATGAAAGCCGACGGGGAGGGAGGGAGGTGAATGAACAGTGGGAGCTCAGAGAGAGACTGCAGGTGGATGACACGGAGCGTGAATGAGCAAATGAATGGAGGGACACATGATGAATGAATGAGTGAATTGATAAATTCCTCACGGAAGAACCTGCTGCAGGTGTTTCTGTAGTGCACCTGGGCTGTCAGACCAGCCAACACGTCCCACCTGGTTTTTACTGTGCAGCATATTACAATACGGGCTGCTGTATGAGTCTTTTTCTTACTGCACCTCCACTCCTCTACAAAGAGCTCTTTTTTCTCCTCTCCCTCAGACAAACAGAATGAGGTGGAGATCCCGTCGCCAACGTCCAAGACACGGGAGAAGAAGAAGCAGCAGAAGCAGCAGCTGATGACACAGATCAGCGGGGTCAAGAAGGTCTCCCATGGGCCCTCGCTCTCCAGCAGCAGCATCTCACGCTTCGGTGTCAAGACCGATAAGGAAGAGCTACTGTCCAAGGAGCTGGAGGATCTGAACAAGTGGGGCCTCAACATCTTCACGGTGTCGGAATACTCCAACAACCGACCCCTTACCTGCATCATGTACGCCATCTTTCAGGTATGGAGCCTCCTACTTTAATCTGCTGTCTGTCTCCATATTTGTTTTCCTACTATATTTAAATACTACTTTATTGTAAAAATTACATTTCAATGTTGTTTTCCCAGGAGCGAGACCTGTTAAAGACATTTAAGATCCCCATGGATACGTTTGTGGCCTACATGATGACATTGGAAGATCACTACCATTCAGATGTGGCCTACCACAACAGTCTGCATGCTGCTGATGTGGCCCAGTCCACACACATCCTCCTGTCCACTCCAGCCCTGGATGTAAGCCTTTACACAAAGTGACATATTTTAGTGTCAGTTTTACTCAGTTAATCCATTGGCTTTATAGCTCTCAACTCTGGAGGTTGAAAAGTGCCTCCAGCTCTTAACTCGAATGCATCCACACAAATAAGGGAAAACTAAATTAGAGGAGTGAGCTCTTACATCACCCCATGTGCCACTTTCCTGGATTGCTACACCGGCTTTGAAGAGCTCAGCATCCTTCCATTGAATCATCTTTTTTTCCCCTTGCTCTGCTTGCACCAGTTTACTCAGAAAACTTCCCCTATTTTATTCAATACTCATGCCTTTCTTTTTTTGTTCATTTTTTTTTTCCCCCTGCATGCATTATCATAGCGTTCTCCTCAAATTGTGGAGTAGCTGGTGAGATACAGTCATGTCAGAACGCCCCGGTCTTTAGATGTGATCTCTGTAATCCATCTTTCATCTATACCAGGCACAGGATCTTCACAGAAAGGCAGCTTATTTGGTTTACTTTAGAATAACAATCCTCTATCCTCACATGACCTGGGCTGTCTGCTGTTTTCCTTAAAGGCAGAACGTGACAGAAACAACTGGATTTCTGTCACATTTAGGACTAAATCTGGATATTTTGAAGACATAATCTTCATGTAAAACCCTAGGCCTGTTATCTCTCCCTTCCATAACACTCTGCCAATCAATAGTGATTGTGCATAGATTAACTGTTATTTTTTATCTTGTGAAATTGCTAAACGCTCTTTCTTTTTCTGTCTCTCACAGGCGGTCTTCACAGATCTTGAGATCCTGGCAGCCATCTTTGCTGCGGCTATCCATGATGTTGACCATCCTGGAGTATCAAACCAATTCCTAATCAATACCAGTAAGTCAGAAATATTAGCTTACACAAGAACTAGGCAATTTTTTTATGTTGCTTTACCACATAATAGCGGAATTAATGCAACAACTAACTTACTAAAAATCACTTTGCAGACTCTGAGCTGGCCTTGATGTACAACGACGAGTCTGTGCTGGAGAACCATCATTTGGCTGTCGGATTCAAGCTGCTGCAGGAAGACAACTGCGATATCTTCCAGAACCTCACCAAGAAGCAGCGACAGTCCCTGCGCAAGATGGTCATCGACATGGTAAGACGATCCACATTCTGCTCTCCTCTAAAACCCTCTTGATGTAAATCAAATAAATCCAAATAGACCTGCTGCTGATCATGAGCTTGTATTCCTCTTTTATCCAGGTTTTGGCCACCGACATGTCCAAACACATGAGTCTGCTTGCTGATCTGAAGACCATGGTGGAGACTAAGAAGGTGACGAGCTCTGGAGTGCTGCTGCTTGACAATTACACCGACAGGATACAGGTATGTGGTATTTCCAGACAAAGACACAAATTCTTCTATGTACAATCTGGGGACCGAGTTTGTGATTGGACAAACTGTAAGCCCTCCATCTCTCTTTTACCTGCTTTTAATAGCTTTAATCAATAGCAGGAAAAGGTTGCTCAGCCAGTGATCATTAGCTGGCCTCCGACATAGCTGACCTGTGCTCCCACCGTCACTCCTGTTCTCACTCCATCCACCTTTTTATCTTTAAGTGCTCCCTCCACACTTCCCCCTGGCCTTCTTACAATTGCTTATTTATTAGACTGTTGTGGACTGACCTCTTTTCATACTAAAGCACGTTATTGTACAACAAGTATCTGGCAACATCGCACACTGCTCTATTGTTTCAGTTTGAGATTGTACATCGGAGAAGCTCACTGTTTCCCCAAATGTGTAGATACTTTCAAAATGTGTTGCATTTCTGGTTGCAACAAGATACCGCGACAATCTTACTGACTGGAATTGTGTATTGGCTTTATAGGTGCTGCGTAACATGGTGCATTGTGCTGACCTGAGCAACCCCACCAAGTCCCTGGAGTTGTATCGTCAGTGGACTGACCGGATAATGGAGGAGTTCTTCCACCAGGGAGACAGAGAGAGAGAGAGGGGGATGGAGATCAGCCCAATGTGTGATAAACACACAGCCTCAGTGGAAAAGAGCCAGGTAGGCAACAAAAGACAAAGAAACTGTATTAGTTGTCATGCAGAACACATGTAGAAATTCACATGTGCTTTAAAACTTTAAAAGGAACTCACTCTCATTTGCCTCTTTCAGGTGGGTTTCATCGACTACATCGTGCACCCTCTGTGGGAGACCTGGGCCGATCTGGTCCACCCCGATGCCCAGGACATTCTGGACACGTTAGAGGACAACAGGAACTGGTACCAGAGCATGATTCCCCAGAGTCCCTCCCCGCCCTTCTACGACCAGGGCACACATGGACACAGTGGAGGTACTGGAGGACAGGGAGGTGGGGAGAAGTTTCAGTTCGAGCTGACCTTAGAGGAGGAGGACTTGGATGGAATAGAGAAAGACGGCGAAGGGGAGGAGGAGGAGGAGGAGGAGGAGGAAGAAGAAGAGGAGGAAGAGTTAGAGGAGGAGGATAGTCTTGGAGATTCTCGTTCTCCTCCCCTGGACTATTTGGACGGTCAAGAGGAGGGCGGCATGATGGAGTCAACAACGGCAATAGAGATTGTGACGCATGAGGCCTCACCTACAGACACATAGGGCTTCCATCATCAGGCTCACGTGGTGATTTGAAAGTTTTTTTGGAAAAAGAGGGGGTATCCTCTTGCAGCTGTGCTTTTTAATAAGCCCACAGAAGCAAGGGCTTAGTTTTAGCCCGCACAGGGGCATCTTGCACTTGGGTGTTTGAAGCCAGACACGGACGGACAGTTTCAGTGGAGTGGCTTCAGAGTTCTCAGGAAATAATTACTGCGAACATTTTAGTCTTGATGGACAGGCGAGACTGAGGGTGGAACTTGAAGGATTTCAGCCAGTTTGGAAAACGGTTACTTTTCTTTTCTGGACTGGCATTAAATAGACATCGACACTACTGAGGGAAGTTTTGTACCTTAAGACTTTTTTACAGATATATGATCTAGAAGTAGCATAGAGTAAGATCTACTGATGGAGACACGTTTGTATAGCAAGAAAAAGTGTTTACTTTTTTCCTGTACCATTTGTCAAAGGACTTTTGTGTGCCTTTTTTACTATTGTCTTTATAATAGTTTTTTATTTATTGAACACTCTAGTATGTCTGTGAAATGTTTTTTTTTTTTTTTTCTTATATAAAAGAGCAAAATCTTTTTTTTTGTATGTTAAAAAGATTACAGTCTTCCATGTATTGGGCAATAGAGAAATCCAAACAAACGTCGACAAACAACTCTTGGACAAATTCATCTAAATAGGAAAACATTAACACCCACATTTGTCAAATTTGTTTTTCAGTCTGAGCACAAGTTCTTCTTCACACATGGAATTCAAGCGCTTACGTTCGCTCATGGTTCATGTTGCATGTTTCGTTTGTTGCTTTCTGTATCAGTCAATGAATGTCACAGTCATGCTTAAATGCATCACCTCTATTTTCACACTGTCCATACATCCTCATGCTTTCTTTTCACGGCCTGCAGACCACTGAGCTTTCCTACTGTTTCACACCAAAACCTGTTGGTGTGAAATAGAGGTTAGCCCGGTTCAAACCCTCATAGCCTTTGACCTCCCAGCGGATAAAATAAGCAGAAATGCAAGCGGATCTGAAACAAGTAGCTCCTGAAATCAAGCGTCTGAGATCAATCAGAAATCAAGTCCGCGAAAGATGAAAAGCACAGCAGCAGTGAATCTATTCATAGCCCAAGAGTATGCTAGAGTCTTAATAATCCTGTTAGTTGGAACGGGTTCTGACCCGAGACCTGTATGATGTAACGCCCCCCTGCCCTTCTGCAATCAGGCCCAGACCAGATGATTAAAGGTGTTCTTACAGCTGCCCGTCTGAAAGCCGCTCTCTGGCCCTCATCAGCGCCAGTATTCACATGGTTTACAAACCCATCTGGGCTCCACGGACAAGACCCCAAAACAATCAGGCCAGCTATTTCTTCCTCACGATAAAAATCCCTCAAGTGCTGCTTTTGCTCATTGACGTCAATTG